CCCTACCGAGAACCCAGCCCCAAGCCCTACCGAGAACTCAGCCCCAAGCCCTACCGAGAACTCAGCCCCAAGCCCTACCGAGAACCCACCCCCAAGCCCTACCGAGAACCCACCCCCAAGCCCTACCGAGAACCCACCCCCAAGCCCTACCGAGAACCCACCCCCAAGCCCTACCGAGAACCCACCCCCAAGCCCTACCGAGAACCGACCCCCAAGCCCTACCGAGAACCCACCCGAAGCCGGACAGACACCCACCTGGAGCCCGAACAGTCACCCACCCGGAGCCCGACCAGTCAAACACCCGGAGCCCGCCAGTTTAGTAAACCGGAGCCCGCCAGTTGAGTGAACCGGAGCCCGCCAGTTGTGTGAACTGGAACCCGTCAGTTGAGTACCTGGAGCCCGCCCCGAGCCCTACCGAGAACCCACCCAGAGCCCTACCGAGAACCCACCCTGATCCCTACAGAGAACCCACCCCTAGTCCTACCATGAAAACACCCTGAGCCCTACAGAGAACCCACCCTGGGCCCGACCAAGAACCTACCCCGAGCCCTACAGAGGTACCCCAAGCCCGAGAGCCCATCCCGATCCCAAAAGAGCCCACCCTGAGCCTGACCGGGAGCCAACCCTAAGTCCTACGAAGAACCCACCCCGAAGCCCTACCAAGAACCCACACCCCCCCCCGAGCCCTACCAAGAACCCACACCCCCCCGAGCCCTACCAAGAACCCACACCCCCCCAAGCCCTACCAAGAACCCACACCCCCCCAAGCCCTACCAAGAACCCACACCCCCCCAAGCCCTACCAAGTACCCACACCCCCCCAAGCCCTACCAAGTACCCACACCCCCCCCAAGCCCTACCAAGAACCCACACCCCCCCAAGCCCTACCAAGAACCCACACCCCCCCAAGCCCTACCAAGTACCCACACCCCCCCAAGCCCTACCAAGTACCCACACCCCCCCAAGCCCTACCAAGAACCCACACCCCCCAAGCCCTACCAAGAACCCACCCGAAGCCGGACAGACACCCACCCAGAGCCCGCCAGTTGAGTACCTAAAGCCTGCCCGGAGCCCCGACCGACAACCCACCCCGGAGCCCCGACCGACGACCCACCCCGGAGCCCCGACCGACGACCCACCCCGGAGCCCCGACCGACGACCCACCCCGGAGCCCCGACCGACGACCCACCCCGGAGCCCCGACCGACGACCCACCCCGGAGCCCCGACCGACAACCCACCCCGGAGCCCCGACCGACAACCCACCCCGGAGCCTCGACCGACAACCCACCCCGGAGCCCCGACCGACAACCCACCCCGGAGCCCCGACCGACAACCCACTTGGGGCCCGACAGAGAACCCACTTGGGGCCCGACAGAGAACCCACTTGGGGCCCGACAGAGAACCCACTTGGGGCCCGACAGAGAACCCACTTGGGGCCCGACAGAGAACCCACTTGGGGCCCGACAGAGAACCCACTTGGGGCCCGACAGAGAACCCACTTGGAGCCCGACAGAGAACCCACTTGGAGCCCGACAGAGAACCCACTTGGAGCCCGACAGAGAACCCACTTGGAGCCCGACAGAGAACCCACTTGGAGCCCGACAGAGAACCCACTTGGAGCCCGACAGAGAACCCACTTGAAGGCCGACAGAGAACCCACCCCGCGCCCAACCTTTCATGGAGAAAATTGAACACCAGGCGACAAAAATAATTGCAGAATGAGGTCTAGTTTCATACCATGAACGGTTGAGGGTCACAGGGCTAACAACACTGCAAACTAGGCATGCCAGGATGGATCTCACCGAAACTATTAAAATATCGACTTGAATCGACTTGAGAATGGTCCAGGACGGACCGAAACTCGTCGTCCCTTCAACTTCTAGTGTGTGGTCTGGTCAACATACTTCAGCCACGTTATTGTGACTCATCGCCTGCCTATTAAAATATTGAACAGTTTCGAAGATATGGATCCAGAGAACAACTTCAATAGGTCAGATGGAACACAAACAAGGAACAACGGTTTCAAGTCCAACAAGCCGCAGTGTAGGACTGAAAACAAGCTATATTTTCACCCACAGGGTTATAAACCCATGGAACCGCCTATCTGCTAAAGCAGTAAATAACATAACACTTGAATTGTAAAATCCAATTTGAAAAAAAATCGGAACAAATGGGGGACCTGATCTGCTACCAGAAATTTTAGCCAAATATCCCCAGTCTGCTAACTGTAGGTATAGTAACCGAGTGATTGTAACCTATCCACCGCTGCCCACTGGATGGGGGGCGGTGTGCAGGACAAACATAAATTGTGACACTAGCTCTCCACATATGTCAGGTGCTTAATTTAGAACCTGTACTTGAGGTCGATCTCGAACCCATTGTTGATGTGACGACTATTGAATTTTGTAACTAGCTCATCAAGATTGTAACTTGCTTAGCTAAATGAATTGTGGGGTTCAGTCCCTGAGCCCATTATGTGCCTCTGTAACCCTTTCCACTACCGCCCAGCAGAGGTACAACAGGTACTCAGAGAGAACTATCAACATCAGAGGCCCGAGACTGTTCAACACGCTTCCATTACACATAAGGGGCATAAATAACTGGCCGACCCCTCACAGTGTTCAAGAGAGAACTGGATAAGCACCTTCAAAGGATACCTGATCAACCAGGCTGTGACGCATACGTCAGGCTGCGAGCAGCCGCGTCCAACAGCCTGGTTGATCAGTCCAGCAACCAGGAGGCCTGGTCGACGACCGGGCCGCGGGGACACTAAGCCCCGGAAGCACCTCAAGGTAGCCCGCAAGATGGGTATGGGGTGCATAATAAACGAACTAAACTAACATTGATAGGCATTGTTCGAAGCAAACTCCGTACGCGAAACCCCATTATATTATATAATTCTTTATACTGTGTATATATAAGATATAAATATGTCAAAAAGAATTATCACTCTTACCTGGAGCAATGTTGCTGATTTCGGAAATCAGCGGTACATGTTGTCGCCTTGGCGGCAGCGACGGTACTGTCGAGCAGCTGAGCCTTCAACGACCAACCGCCGTTTGAACGCCATTTTGAAATTCCAGCTGGCTCCAAGCTCTGTGAACCTGGGAGTTCGAGACTTTTGTTAACCCGAAAGTTCGAAGCTTGGTGAACTCAAGAAGTAGGGTTAGGTTAGGTTGAGTTTTTTTTTTTTAGATATATACAAGAGTTGCATATATCTTAGAGAGAGACTTCTTATATTCTTGTACAGCCACTAGTAACGCGTAGCATTTCGGGCAAGTCCTTAATCCTATGGTCCCTGGAATACGACCCCCACGAAGAATCGTTTTTACAACCAAGTATATTTTACAATCATCCCATTTTACTGTTGAGTTAAACAGAGGCTACAGTTAAGGATTTGTGCCCAGTAAATCCTCCCCGGCCAGGATACGAACCCATGACAAAGCGCTTGCGGAAAGCCTGGCGAATGTCTTACCACGCAACCCGTCCTCTTAAAAAGAACGTCACTTTTGGCTCGTATGAGCGATATGGCTAAATTTGGACGTAATTTGAAATGAAATCGACTCACAAAAGTGACGTTCTGTTCCGTTTTCTGTTTGAGTCGTCCTGCCTACGCGCAGAGGCTATAAGAGGACACTTTAAATTAACGTTTTTCATAACGTTTTGAAACTTTATAAGAATTTCCTGCCCACCTAACCTATCAGAGGACCCTTAACTTACTGTTGTTGAAAAAAAAAATTCCAAATTTGTTTTCATTTTTTTTTCATTTTCAAATTACGTCCAAATTCGGCCATACGGGCAAACGGCCAAAAGCGACGTTCTTTTTAAGAGGACAGGTTTACCACGACACCACGGATACTGATGTAGATTGGGTTGGGTTAAGTTGACCTAGGCTAAGTTAGGTAGGTTTCCAAATTCATTGGCGAATCGTCTTGTGTATGATGTGACATTGTGACTTGTATCAAGGCCGGAAGGGAATTAAAATGTCCGGATAAAGCTATATGATTATTCAACCTATCCTCATAAACAAAGACTAAATGCTCGTTAATTCAGCCACCAAACCCCCCTGTATTATTATATATTAGCCTATACTGTGCATATTTAGGCATTGGTTAGGTTAGGTGTTTAGGTTCTGTTGGCGATTGATTGATTGGTGAAGATTAAGCCACCCAACAGGTGGCACGGGCATGAATAGCCCGGGTTCGTTCTCTACTCACAATTGAGATTTCCAGGTTCTAATCCTGGGAGGGGCAGAAATGGCTGGATACGTATCCTATCACCTAATGCCTCTTAAAAAAAGGTCGATAGAGCTCCGGCCTCACAGGCGTGGGGTCCCCGGTTCGAGTCTCCTAGATCCCAGGTGAATGGAATGCCTCTGTCCACCTAGCAGAAAATAGGTACCCAGGAGTTAGTCATCTTGCTGTGGGGGTTGCATCCTAGGTAGGGTCAATAATTTGTCCCGGGGGGGGGGGGGCATAAGCCTAACATATAACATATATATAAGTACTGTACATATAACATCTCGTCCTCAGACCAAGTCCATATTGATGGTTTAGTGAAGCTTCACTGTCTATACCAGTGGCTTAATGAGACTTCACTGACCGTGTCGGTGGTTCAGTGAGGCTTCACTGACCGTGTCGGTGGTTCAGTGAGGCTTCACTGACCGTGTCGGTGGTTCAGTGAGGCTTCACTGACCGTGTCGGTGGTTCAGTGAGGCTTCACTGACCGTGTCGGTGGTTCAGTGAGGCTTCACTGTCATCTACAACATGCTTTCTGCTAGGGTTATAGACTTATATGCGGCTTATATTATTGATAAACTTTGCAGTTTTATTAATAATCTTTAAAATACATTTTCATATTTTACTAACTTAAACTATTACAAGTTATTGATTATTTTAATTAAGACATTTATATTTACAACATTTAATGTCATTTTCAACTTTTCTGTCAATCTTACAAATATGTGACTTGGATATATCAAATACAATATCGCTCGCCAATAAATAGTGTAAAGTTTAACAATAAAAATCACAGTAGCACCGTAGTATATTACATTAGTGATAATTTAAGACATACGATTTTTCTTTAACAGAAAGATTAAGATAGACGTTGCGCTCTGAGGTAAGAGGGTGACCATGTGGACGGGAAGAGTCCGGCCTGCACCTTGACGGAGCAGCACCTCAAGCATGTCGGGTCTTAAGAAAGCTCGAGCTGTCTTCCCCGAGGAGGAGTATGTCCCCGAGGACGACAGTGACGGAGAGGACGAGCACGATGACATGATAGGACAGAACGTGAGTCACTTGCTTCAGGGCTTTTAATAAGACTGGGTGTGTTAAGTTTAATATATTGTGGTTTTTCTTCTTTCTTGATGAATTTAATGATGAATTAGTAATGTAGAAAGAGAGAGAGAGATCTTGTTAATTTTTTAGAATGAATTAGATGGCTGATATTGGTGTGTTTCAATATGGAAATTTGTTTTGTTCTAGTTTGACCCATTGTTGATGTGACGACTTACACTGAATTTTGTAACTAGCTCATCAAGATTGTAACTTGCTTAGCTAAATGAATTGTGGGAGTTCAGTCCCTGAGCCCATTATGTGCCTCTGTAACCCTTTCCACTACCGCCCACAAGATGGGGATGGGGTGCATAATAAATAAACTAAACTAACTCTAGTTCGACTCGTTTTCTCGGGTGGGTATGGTCATTTCTTACATTAACTCGTTTTTTGTTTGAAAACTGTATATATTGTTAGGCTAGGATGTATTGGTATATGTTAGGCTGTATTGGGCTTGGTTAAGTTAGGTTGGGTTATTACGTTTCGAAATTTGTTGGCGAATCGTCTTGTGTACGATGTGACTTGTATCCTTCTTGAGACAGTTCGGGTTCAGGCATAATTTTCAGTAGTTCTTGAAGAAAATAGATAAGTTTTAGTGTTTTATTCATGTTGCCTGGAACATTTGTTCAGGCTTGGTTAGGTAAAGGGTAAAATAAGTGGTTATAAGTTAATGTACCATAACACACATTTTTCATGTCTAACAAACTTAACCAATGTTATACAGTCAAATCATTCGCAGGTGTTTTGACAACACTCATTTTCCAGTTATCAACACTAAATGAAATGGATTTAAAAAATTATCACGCTTAACCCAATTCAACCTAATCCAACGTAAGCTTAGCTCAGCCTAACCTAACCAACCTGAATTTGCTGAGGAGCACCATCTCTTGTGGCCTAAAAGGGACCAGGAAAGCCAGTAACTTTTCAAGGTGCCCATTAAGATCGATAAACATAAATATAATTCATGATTTTAACACTTGGGAAAACACGCTTTTTCAAAATGCCTGTGTATGATTTGACCGTACTCTGAATTACCTCACTCTCGCCATACCCTGGGGTACCTCACAATTTCACACTGATCCCCATTGTCGGAAATAGTTCAACCTATCAAAGTGTCATTCGGCCAACGATTGACCCTACCTAGGATGCAACCCACAAAAGATGCCTAACTCGTGGATATTGTTTTACTGCTAGGTGAACCAAGGCTTCAAGTGTAAGAAAACGTGTCCAAACATCTCGTCCTGCATGGGAGTCGTACATGGGACCATTCGGTTTTGAGCAGACTTTTTTGGTCACTGTGCAACAAAACACTTCTGCAGTATTCCATTTTGGAAATTGGGAGAGATTGGAAAAAAATGCTTCCCTTTTTTGTTGTGGAGAGACTCTTGATGATAATTTTTAGGATGCATAAACATTTTCTTCAGTAACTTCCGTGGCACAGAATGATCCAGCTGGGATGCTTGAAAATTGTGAGGCATCATTCATATCCAAGGATACGGCAAAAATTCAACCCTTGAGCATCCTATTATTTTTCCTATTCTATTATTTTTTCCTATCATCCTATTATTTTTTCCTATCCTATTATTTTTTCCTATCATCCAATTATTTTTTCCTATCATCCTATTATTTGTTATCAAGTAACAAATGAAGCTCATTAATATTGTGGCAAGCAGTACCTTAAATCTTCTGAATGCATGCTTTCAGAGGAGGAGTTGACTATAACCTTGGATTGCCTATAAGCAACTTTATGTAGTGTATTCAGGTGATTGAAACCTTTCCAATTACTAGATGGGTCTGGGCTGCATAAGCAAATTTAATTACGGTACTAGTATGTGTAAGTATGTAGTTGAGTACAAATATAAATTGCTTAGCTTAGAGACTGGCATGGTCCAGCTCATGAACTCATTATTGATTTATACATATTAAACCAAGTAATTAGCTTATAAGACTAGAACTTGCTTAGCCAAATAAATTTTTAGGTTCAATTCTTGAGCCCATTATGTGCCTCTGACCTGTTCCACTACCACCCACAGGATAGGCATGGGGTGCATACTAAATGAACTAGACTAAAGTTACTAGACTATAAAAACATTAATGTCTTTCAGGTTAATGTTGATTTTGAAGGCTTCCAGGCCAATGATGGAGACTTCCATGGCATAAAGAGGCTTCTTCAGCAAAATTTTCGTGGCTTAAATGTTGATATATCAGGCATCGCAGACACCATTATTTCTCAAAACTATGTTGGCTCCGTTATTAAGGTAAGTACTGTACTGTACTTGCTTATGAAGCAAGCTTGTTAGCTGCAGGTATTACATTGATATGTTACTGTATAGGGTAAAATGGGATGATTCAGTAACTGTATCTTTAATTTCATGCTGGTGGGCTTATTAATGTCTCCTACCCCATATTTATTTTAATATACCTTCTTCACCAGTCTGCCATATTCCATTTATTTGAATTGCCCAAACTATCCTGGTATGCTCTTCTCAATCTTTTAAGTTGATTAATTTTCCCCTTTCCCTTTTTTTTTTATTTTGTTCAGCAAGTGGGTGGTGATGATGACGAAGACGACGACGATGAAGATATGCCCACAACCAGTGAAGAGGATGCTGAGCAAGTATTTGGTGTGACCACCATTATCAACCTAACATCCAGGAAAGTTAGTTACCAAACTGTGTTGTCTACTGATCCAGTTTCCAACTTGCCTAATATAACAAATGTTTACAAAAAAAAATTAACCTTCACTGTTTCCATGTGTATAGAAATGGAATGAAATGATGAAAGTAGATTTGATTTATAGATGACATTTTGCGTGCAAGTGCTTTATTAAGATTGTTAGATTTGATAAAGCAAATACAGTATTGGTAAAATGTCTGTAAATAGTAGTTTATTCTTTGTCAGTGTCTGTTTTTCTACATCATTATTACCAGTTTGTGCTCTATTACTATGTAGGTTTCTTAGGTTATGATTGGTTGTAATGGAAAATAATTGGTTGTATACACAGTAATGTTGTCATTCTAGGTACAAATTTTCCCAAGGAGTGTTTTTTTTTTTTAATTATATAATAAATTAAATATTATGCAAATAAAGCATCTACATTAAGTGCTGTAATTTACAGAACACCAGACATAAATTATATATATATAAAAATCATAGAAATAAGTGACTGTAGGGATTTTAAGGGAGGTACTAGTATTTTTTTGGTGGTGGGGGGGGGGGGGGGGGTTCTACTCTGTACAGTCACTTTCTCTTCTGTAACTAACAATCTGTAGCAGCTTCCAGCTCCAAACTCTGATTTTTATTTTCAGCACTTATAAGCAGTCATTATAAAATTCCTGGTTTTTGCAAAACTGGGAGAACACCTGCTGGGTGACCACAGATGCTTTCTGCAGTGAAAGTTTAAAATAGGCCACTTCAGTATGGATGGTAATATTGTAAACTTAGGTCATAGATCATGACTTGTTAATATTTGGCATTGAGAAATTACACTGCTCTCGGATTGGTCTGTCTAGGTTAAATCAGTTTGTGTAAAAGATGTAAGGAATCTATGATGAATTGCTCGTGTTCTTAATGGTTTATGAATAATGTAGTACACTACTTCAATAGTTCCTACTGCTAAAGGTTCTTCTCTGTATACTTTAGATGGCTAAAAGATAATAGTTTTCAAATGGAATTGTCAATGACCTTTACTAGGGCCATAGCCTTTGAGGGTAAATTTAAGCTTCCATGCATCCAGCCAAAAATTAATTTCACTAAAAAATAAATATTTAATACTTTTACCCATGATAAATTTGATAAATGTAATTTTACAGGATGAAAAATGCATAGCAGAGCTCAGAACAGCTTTAGTTGAAAAATGTTCAAGCCATGGTAGTGACTCGACTAGTCGGTTGCTTCGTGACATATTGGGCAATGAAAGCAAGCATGTGGGCCTCCTTATTTCTGAGCGGCTAGTAAACCTTCCCCCACAGTTCTCTCTCCCAGTGTTTGAGAGCTTAAGGTTAGTATCTCTTGCGGTTGAACACAGTCCCTAGTGGACTGTTATGATATGCCTTTACTGGACAGTATTGTACTCTCTTGCTGACATAAACAAAAAAAGTTACAGTACTATGTAGTGCTGCAAAAATACTCTAGTATTTATCTATTGTAGTAGTTAAATGCCTAGAATTAACTTGTCAACTTTTTGTGTATATTCTCAAAGAGAATTTACAAGCTATAGTATAGGGGCCCAAAACTATACTGCATGGTCTATACAGTGTCTCAAAATGGGAGTGATCATCATTATCTTAGAACATTATTTCTAGGTAATCTTACCTATTTTAATTTCTGTGCTGTGTTAGTCATTGCAGAGAATTTTCTTGCATAACACTTAGACTGAATTGAATTTATATTTTCTTGACTGGTGCTGTGTCTCGCTGGATCAGTACGTGTTTAATAATTACAAACGTTAGTAGTTGCAGGCAGTATAGAAAATATTGCTGTATTACAGTGGTCAGCACCCCACCACTTCAGAAGGAGCATTGTGCACCTGGTCTTCTGAATTGTCACTACATAAAAATGCATTCCCTTCCCTACAAACCACTTCCCTCTTGCTCCTTGTGCATTACTTTATCCCATTTATCATTCATACTGCCTGCTTTTTTTAAATGACTACTCGCCATGTCTGCCAACCCTCATCATGCCCCTCCTCTCCTACTCTATATTTAATATACCTTCTTCACCAGTCTACCATATTCCATTCATTTGAATTTCCCAAACTATCTTGGTATGCTCTTTTCAATCTTTTAAGTTGATTAATTTTCACCATCTATATCTCTCCATGATATTTACATTTTTTTATCTATTTTTTTCTAATACTGTACTGTACCTGAGCCGGGTCGGCCGAGCGGACAGCACACTAGACTTGTGATCCTGTGGTCCCGGGTTTGATCCCGGGCGCCGGCGAGAAACAATGGGCAGAGTTTCTTTCACCCTATGCCCTTGTTACCTAGCAGTAAAGTAGGTACCTGGGTGTTAGTCAGCTGTCACGGGCTGCTTCCTGAGGGTGGAGGCCTGGTCGAGGACTGGGCCGCGGGGACACTAAAAAAAAAAAAGCCCCGAAATCATCTCAAGATAACCTCAAGATACCTGCATGCTTTTCAGATAATCCATTTTCACTGCTCTTAGTTTTATGCTCTTACCGCACCATTTTATCCCAACTATACATAAAAGTTAGCACACCTCTTGGAGACCTCTGACTGCATCTGTTTCAGGCTTGTTTTTCTTGGCCAAAGCTTTCATTGCATCAACCACTTTCCTTCTTGATTGTCCTTATGCTTAACTTTGACCGCATAAATATAACTTAAAAAATTTAACTTAACCTGGGGAAGGTTGTATGAGTTTTTCTGGAAGTGATCTGATGCTGTCCACACAGGCCTGGCACACTAGATATCTGGAGCTTCATGCACAGTTTGCAATCATTCCGTTATTCTTATTTTAGGTGCCGATAATTAGAATAAGCAGTAATAAGAAACATTTGCCAATTCTTCAGATACTTAAAATGCCTGTAACAAAATATATTATCTGGCCCCAATGAAAGTACAAGTATTTGAAAGTCAAATTCATAATATAAATTGTTTCAGTATACTGTAGTGTGTGTGGTGTGTAGCCGACTCAAGGTGGTGATGACATTGAGCATGGTAACTGGCATTGTAGCCTCTGTCCCATAAAAATCATTCCAATGCTATTCTTAGCTCTTTAGATACAGTATTTTAATTCATTGGCAGGGGGACAAGCAGGCAGTTTATACATACAATATATATGTTAGCCTTGTATCAAGGAATGTTGGCATGAGAGTTGACTTGGTTCTTTGAGGATTTTTGTTGTTCTTCACCATTTCCTTTGTTGAAGTTAAAGGTTCATTTGGTTATTCTTTCATGTAGACCTCCTACCATTACTCAGAGGTTCTTTTGCTTTTCAATTTGCCACTTAAATCATGATGGCAATATGGTAGCACTTACCAAATGTGGAGTTTACACTGTGTAGTCATTTTGCATGGCTGCATTATTGGTGTAACTTCCTATATGTGGTTGGTGTACATTATATTAAAAATAATTAACCTTAATATGGAACCTTACAGTACTCGGCTAATAATATTTTTAGTCTTAATTCTTTTTCCATTTAGGGTGAAGCATTGCTTTGTGTTTTACCCTGTCCAGCATTTTAACATTCCTTCCATCTACTTGTTTATTTTTGTATAGTACAGTAGGTCGTATCTCCTGTCCAACCATTTGGACTGGACTATACTGTAGAGTGACAGCCTTGTTTCTTGCAGGTTGGCATTCAATCCTTGACCATCCAAGTGGTTGGGCACCATTCCTTTTCTTCCCTGTATCCTAAATCCTTATCCTCATATCCCTTCCAAGTGCTTTATAGTCATAATGGCTGGGTACTTTCTTGATAATTACCTCTTAGCTCATGTCGCCAGGAAACCTGTAATATGCTGTACATTGTTATAGAAAGAATTTAATTACTGAATTGGGTACAACTATAAATATAGGGCAAGTTTTGAGGTGATGGTACATGTTTGAAAAGCATCGGGGACAAAAACTAGGAGGTATGACCTCACTCCCTGTAGTCATTGATATGTAAGCACCAAAATGCTGCAGTGCCACCACCCCATGCCCATTACACTTCTGCATGTGGGGCCGAGGTGAGACAATTCCAATCAGTCGACCAATCCTCCACACCACCATCACCACCACATCTCTACACGCCACTGCTGAAAAATTCCAGTACCTCCACATTGTTAGTTTATCCACACCCATCCCTAACAGAAGCCTGCACACATTGCAGAGCCTAAACTCTTTATACAACTGTGTGATTACAATGCCATGCTTTTATCCCAAGATATGGCCGCCCCTGGATTTATTTTTTGGATCAGCAATGAGTTGATTAAAAATTATCTAATTCAGTTAGTAGTATGATCTGATAATGTATAATGGAGACTGTTGTTGATTCTGTAATATCGGTTATTATCTCTACTTTGCAACAGGAAGGAGGTAAATGAAGCGAAGGCAAAAAATATGCCTTATGATTTTGCATACCTATTGTTGATTTGCAAAGTTTTCAAGATGGAGAAGAAAAAGAAGAAAAAGATGGTCGAGACTGAGCTGTGGAGTAACCCCGAAGAGGAGGTCATTGCTGAGGTAAGTGTGTGGGATACTCAGAGGTAGCAAGACATGTTTATTATGTGAATTATCTTTTTAAGATGTGAATCTTATTTTCAGAGTTTTGAATTTTATTATACTTTCAATTTATTTATCCTCTAGGAGAGTGTTGCAAACTTTGAATACTGCGTGAAGGGTGATACTGGTATGTCTGGAGACTGGGATGACGATGATGATCAGTACACTCCATACCGACGGGTTCTTCTCCTCAATGCTTCACAATTGGCAGAAATAATTGCTAAAGTCAAGCAAGCCATATAACGGTAATAAAATCTATAATTACAAACTTGTGTTTCAGTAATCAGTCTTTGAACAAAATACCACAGCTTAGGCCCTAGATTTAAAAAAAATAGTGGACATAGTATTTTTTGAATGCTGAACATTGTCTTGTTCAATCTTGTCATACCTGGGGGTGCAGATAGGTGAATGCTTCTGTATTGGATTCCTCCCTAATGTTGTCTTTAGGTGCCTTGCATATTTGTTGGCTTTGTCTTGAGGCTTTGCAGTGTCGGATGGGCTTGTCTCGGCTCAGTGGGGGCCTTTAGCTCTACCACAATCCAGAGCTTAAATGTAGAAACCTGTGTTCCATTATTACACAATGGATATTGCCTTGGATACTTCATGCTGACCCTACAAAGTACCTGGTCATGCTTGTACTGCAATCCCCTATTTGAAAGCCCTGCTCACTCCCCTTTGCAATCTTTTTACTGAATGGATTGCCTGCTTGCAGGCTTATCTGTGTCTGTCCCTAATGCGTCCTTGTATTGTGCCTACCTTACCCCCATGAAGGCTCCTTGCTTGTTAAATTTTGTATCGGAAATTATTAGATATTAGATATCGGATAAATAAATGTCTTAAATATCAGAACTCCAGTCTGCCCTGACCTTCTGCAGTTCTACACTGGCGGGTGCAGACAGCATCCATTACGAGATGATTCGTCATCTGCCTCCTTGCTCCTGTCAGTGTTTGCTGAATATTTATAACTATTTGGGAGTAGTAGTCAATCCCAGCGAACTGGCTTGAGGACTGGCTTCTTCCTATTCGGAAACCTGGTACTCACGGGTCTTTCCCAAAGGATTTCTGCCCCATTGTCCTGATGAGTTAAATCTGTAAACTTGTTGAACGTGTGGTCAATGTGCGTCTGATGTAGTTCCTTGAACACTATTGCCATCTCTTCCCTTCTCAGTTTGGATTTTGCAAGTGTCAAAGCACGACTGAGACTGATGTATTAGTGGCCTTGGAGGTCTATATTCATTCTGCCTTTGCTGTAAAGACCATCCTTTTCTGTTGTTGCCATCCTTTTTGATTTGGAAAAGGCTTGTGATATGACCCTGGAGATGTATTATATTCCAACTCCATTGTTTTGGCTTTTGTGGCAATCTCCCTTTTATTCCTTAAATGCTTAGGCTCTAGCCATTCATTTAATGCGAGACATGGTAGCACTTTCTCCGACTTTTTCAACACTACAAAGATGTTCCCCAAGGTAGTGTTCCGAGCACTGTTCTATTTTCCCTGGTTGCCCCTCAATGGTCTTCTTGCCTTCCTTTTGGCATTTTCTTGGCCGTTTGTGTTGACAGTGTTGTTGGAGTGATGACTCCCTTTTTCTCCGTCAACTTCCACTTGCGATTGATGCTGTCTTCCTAGGCCTCATTCATGGTTTCAAATTCTCTTTTTGATTAAGACCTGTGCTATGACTTACTCAGAAGCAGGTCATTCTTCCGAGTAAAAGTCATGGTAAAAATCCTATGTCATACTATGGTAGTCCCCTTTTGTACAAAGATTCTGCTAAACTTTTGGAGTTAATCTTTGAAGTTCTTTTGTCTTGTTTTCCCCATATTTTACTCAGAGTTGAATGCTTTAGAGCCCTTCCCTTTCCTCTTCCCTGTATTTCCTTAAATTGGCATTCGGATACTGCTGCTAAGGAGGCTATCCACACTTGTACTGTCCTAAAAAGGCATTCCCTATTCAGATTTCTACCCAGTCTACCTAGCACAGATTCCTTGATCTGTGCTCTTTGACAGGGTCATTGGTCTTCTGTTACTTGTAAACTGCATGCTTTTAAAGGTAATCTGGCCGCCTGGCCTTTTTTCTACCACCATAACCAGCAGTGTGAAATGGCTCTGGCGAGGTTACGTTGGCCATACACGTTTAACTTATGGGGCACATAATGGAATGTCACCCTGCTTATTGACCAAACTGCATTGTCCCTCTTAGTCATATACATCCTTGTTGAATGTCCTGATTTTTAGGACATGCGCGTCGCTTCCCACCTGACCCGGCAACTTTAATGGTGCTACATAGTCTTCCTGGCTTGGCACCTTCTTTTGATAATCACTTGCTAAGCAATTTTTCCAGTCTGATGTACATCTTGAGATGTGGGCACCATACTACTGCTGCATATTCTAGTTTTGGTCTCAAAAAAGTTGAGGATTCTTTAGTATTTCACAATCCATGTACAGTCAGCCATGTGCTTTATGAATGAATGCCTTAAAAAAAAAAAAAAAAAAGCCTGTTATCCAATTTAGGTTAGTTCAGGTAACTGGTGGGGCAGGCAGTCTGAATAAAAATGTGCATTGAAGATGGAACTAGTTTGCCCAGTGACCATAAACAATGCCATGAGCAGTTTTCATACACTAATGGATGGCTCAGAAGCTTTAAACTCTGCCATGGCATTAGGTGCATTAGAGTACATGGTAAAATGCAGTCTGCTGAGGTTACCTAATCACCATTTCAGTCAACCCAACATTATCATCATCCACCACCAAGTTTTCTATCTAAATTACAATGCTCCAACTGTAATCAAGTTAACAAGCGGATCAGAACTTCTCATATCAGTGAGTACAAACAAAACACTAGAATTTCTGTAACCAAATTATCAGTTATTTTCCCCTAGCTTTTCAGGATGACGGACCACTTATCCAAACACAATAGGTTATCCGTTCGCTGTTCCGAGGGGTTCGGAAACCATGTAGCCGACTGTATTTAAAAGCAATTCTGAAGTTGGAAAATGTAGCATATACTCCTTGCACAATGTTCTTTGTGCTCCTCTGGTGACAGTCTACTATCCAGAACCACCCCTAGATCTTTGTTAGTTCTTTAATGCCTTTCCACATAATTTATAGGTTTGTGGCAAATTTTCTCTGTTGCTCCATACACTTGTTTTGGCTTGGGTAATTTTGAAGAGCATGACTATCGTCTAGGTCTCATAATTGACAAAGTTCAAATTGTGATAAGAAAACACCATTTATTTTAATGTTTCTTTACAAATAATGATGACATGTTTTCCAGTGTATGGAGTATAAATATGAATGATTTTATGATTGGTTATTTTAAAAACTTAAAAACTCGTAAATATGAAATGACATATATAATCTCATAAATTATCTTAAAATTTATAATATAGAAGCTAACACAGTTAAAACAATATCCTATTAATATAGTTCTTTGCCCTTTATTATGGAGGTTTGATATACGTGAAATAAAGGTACACCTTACTGCTCATGTATGATGCATTTTATACTAGAGCAAGACTTTTAAGTTACTGCCTGTATGGGCAATGAATTGAATATTTATGTGAGGTACTACATGTGGGTGAGGCACTGGATGTCACTTATGAAGAAGTGCATTAATGACCTCTGCAAGGTATTGCATAAATGTAAATGTGTGTGTGTGTGTGGGTGGGTGGAGATATTGCATGTGGAGAGGCAGTGTGGTGGGGTGACAATTACCTGGTGTTGAAGTGAGGTTTGTGCATGATCCAATGCAACTGTTGAGTGCAGGCTTTAGTCTGAATGAGCTTACATGTGTATGGTGGTCAGTTGTGATTACAAACATCATGCAATTGATCTTTGCAACCATGTTACTAAAAATAAAAATGTTCTCAATGCATTGAATAAAAATTGCCTCTGATGTATTTTTTCTAAAATTATTGTACTGTATATGCAAATAATGTGAAGATAATTTTATATTAATACTATTACAGCATTAACAATTAAATTATTTTTGTTATACTTGGATATCAATTTGTACAGAATGTAGTTTTATAATTGTTTAAAAATAAAAGTTTATCCTGTAAAAATTTGGATTTGAACACATGACTACCAAAGGGACCTTACCAAGTTGCTTGAAGTTTTGATGCAATAGACCATTCTTTGTATTGTAATTTTCTTATTTGAACCAAAAATTCTGAAATATGACCCCTCATTAATATACATATAATTAAATTGAATACAGAAGATAAAAGTAAAAGGCTTCCATACAAAACACACACATTCAGAACCTTGTATACCTCATTTATAAGACCAATCCTGGAGTATGGGACTCAGCATTGCCCATATTTAGTCAAACACTAGTCGAAGTTAGAAAAAGTACAGAGGTATGCCATCAGAGTAGTTGCCGAGCTGAGAGGAAAGACTACTGGCATTTAACCACATGATACTGGAAGACAGAGAAGAGAGACAATTACCACCTACAAAATTTTCAGAGGAATTAATAGGATAGATAAGGACAAACCATTTAGCACAGGTTATATACAATCAAAGGGATACAGGTGGAAACTTGGTACAGTACCCAAATGAGCCACAAAGATAATGTAATGTCTTTCTAATGTCAGAGTAACAAATTGAATGCATTAGGAAGTGATGGAAGTGGAGGCAGACTCCATACACAGTTTCAAATGCAGATATGACAAAGCCCAATAGGCTCAGGACCCTGTACACCAGTTGAGGGGGCCAAATTGCAACCCCTGCAAGCACAACTAGGTGAGTGTGTACACACACACACACCTAACTGCTGCATATCCTAATTTTTACCTTGCGAATGTTATGCACCATTTCTTTAAAATATAAATATTTTCTCATCCAAGTATTTTAACATGAATTTGAAATTTGCAAGCATAGCATAGGCTAGTCTTACAATTCTTTTAGTGATGCCCTCTGACAAGTTTGCTATCCATACCCACCTCTAGACATATCTAGGGCTAGGCTTCGAGAGAAACTTTCAAGACTCATTCCAGGTATGTTATAAAAAGATCACATCAGAGGTATTTTAAAATTAGCCCATGCTATACTTGCTTATTTCTAAATAGCATTTAAATTAATGGATGATTAGTATTAAAGAAATTGCTCACGATATTCCCAAGATGAAAATTAAAAAAATTAGAATATGCAGTAGTTGTTTGGTGTCCATATCTGAAGAAGTGCATCAACAAAATAGAAAAGGTGCAAAGACGTGCTACTAAAATTAGATTGCACCTAAAAAGAATGAGCTATGAGGAGAGGCTGAAGGTGTTAAATGTTACAAAGCTAGTATAACAGACAGATGGGGGAAAAAAAGGCGATGTGACTACAAACAAAATTGCTACAGAACTTGAAAAAATTGAGCAGAAAGAATTTTTTAAACCTACAACTTTAACACCAAGAGGTGTTGAAATAAAACATATAAAAGTTCTCTGTTGCAAACAGGTATGGACTGAGAAGCATTTAGATGAGAAGATGCCAAAAGCATCAGAAGCTACAAATGTCATACGACAAAGATTAAAAGGGAAGACTGGACACCACAAGCATAATTTGACCAGTAAGTGCATTTAGGCAATTACACATACACAAAAATACACATTCTCACAGAGTAAGCAAACTAAGTTCTTATTATAGAATAATATAAACAATATTAACAACATGTAAATTATCCAACATGAAAATTTAACACAATGAAACTGTATATTGAGTACAAAAAGTTAAACCTATTTAATGATCCCAACAAAGAGGGTTTGATTGTTTATAGCAAACACATGGGTCTATTGTCATGGCAGAACTACTGGAATGATTAGCTGCTTCCTATTTTCAAACATTTTAGAATTGTTTAAAATTACAGAATCAATATTGTAAAGCATATCAAATTACTCTGCATAACAGGAAATAAATTCTTTTACTTATTTACAATATGAAACTTTTATGCTGACTAACAGATTGGTTAACACATGAACTATGAATCAAGTGCCTAAGTGAGGATTGGTTTTCACTTTAGTAAGATGTTCCCGAAATATTTTCCATGCAAAGAAGAAAAACTACAATAATAAAGATATTTGTATCTAGAAAATGTTCATTCTGCACTTACAATACTTTTTTTTTACTTATACTGTACTTTATGTACTTATATTTTAAAGAATTAAGTGGTACTACACTTTTTTTTTTATTGTAGTTAACATGAATCAAAGATGGAACTGCCGAAGTAGATGATGAATAGTAGTAATTTACAGAAAATTCAAAGGTGATTCTTAAGTGTACAATATGTAATAATGATCTTACACAAGTGTATACTTTGACTACAGTCTGTATGGTTGTAGGGGCATTATTCACATACAACAAACCATAATACTAGTAACCTGAATGAAAATACTTTGTTAAAATTTAGATCAAAATACATACTCAACATTTTACTCAATAAGCAACCGGACAAAAAATTACTACAAATAAAAAATTATGCTACGTACAGTATGTAGAAGTTGAGGATGATCGGTGGAATGATGTCTTCATAGAACACATCACTATTATATACGAAACTGCACAATTTTTTATACCAGACATACAATTTTGATTGTATTACTATAAAAAAAACTACAGTATTTCCAACTCAATATGATTCAGTCATTTAAATTGCAATATCACACTGATACCAAGAACTTCAATGACAGTCATTAAAGTAGAGTAATTAGAATGAAACACTGAGAAAAATTGCAGTAAGTATATATCAAGTACAGAGCAACAGCACAAGTGAAACTTATTCTATTTGCTAATTTTAAGCATATCAAAGTCTTAATTGTCAAAGACTTAACCAGAATTTTGAGTTGCTAGATAAAAGTTTGCTGACTATACATTAGTATTAGAGTTTATAGAGCACTGTAGCAAGACACACACACGTTCAAGGCAGTGAAATAAATGGCTTCAATTTGACAAGACTGACAGAAAACCAGATGTTATCAAAATCCTGGTTAAATAGGCTTTACAATAATCAAGGCAGTGATGCAATCTATCCTGCATTAATAAATCTACAAATATGGAGAGATTAAATATTCATTCTATGAGTAAATCACAGCACTCGTGGCTACAATTCATTAACAATTTAAATTTGAAAAGGCATAACTCAAGATGACTGTACATTCATTAAAATTTTCTATCAGGTTGCTGATATTTAAGGCTCGTATAATTGCCAAGAGATGTTTGGAGACACTGAAAGTAAATTTATAAACTGTCTTATTTCCAACCATGGTGATTATTTTCATACTGTAATTGTGTTTTCATATCTTTATCCTGTTTATTTAGGGGAAACTATTTAAATAGCAGAGAGAGAGAGATGGCAGCATGTAAAAAGCATTTTATCAAGGTATGACCTATGGTTTATTCGATCCCTACGTATTGGTAAGCGCTGGCCAGTTGAGTGTAAATTTGCTTAACACATGTACATACAAACCATATGCATATGCACAAATATTTTCAGTCTTTATTAATCAACTAGTTAATAATGGTACCATCAGAAGCTTTGGGAAAATGTTAACAAGAACAGTAATGACCCAATACAAATTTGTTAAACGAGTTAGAGCCTATATCAAAGATTTTTTTAACAAATGCCTCCTAGCCTGACAAATGTTAGTCAGATTTACTGCCTAGCTTAGTTGACCAACATTTGTTTTTGCCTCTGGATGACCATAAATTTGTGGCATGTTTTTGCCTATTTACTGTAATAATGGAATAGTGTACAAGGTCTGGGCTAACAGCACTGTACAAGTAAAGGAATACCATTTGGAAAATACTGAAGGTATAAGGCATTTAAAATATTGTGGAGGTACAGTATTTGAAAGATTTAAATCGGAATGTGTGTGGTATGTTTAGGTTAATTTAAGAGGATCCAAAATTCTGAGTGTAAGTGTTTTGATTATAGATAGACGATACTGAAAAGTAGTAAATTGCAGGCAAGTGTTCAAAAACTGTGATATTAGGTCCAAAATTGTTCTGAAAAATGAAAGTTGATTCAAGGACATTGCTTGATTTAATAAATTAAATTTAAACATGGACTTGTAATATACTGTAATGCTGTACTGATATTGTATGGGTATGTAACGAAAATGTATACCTAAAAGTAACGGGAAGAGGACAGTTATATAAAAAAATAAAGTTATATAAAAAAAAATAGTTATACAGTATAATGACAATGAGAGAACGTTATATAATAATAATAATAAAAAAAACATAGAACACGGATAGGGAAGTGTATAGAGGAAGATAATAATTAACACTATGGTGGTTCAATGATGCTCTTGGCATTTGTGGTTTTTCAGTAATGTATCTGATGACAGTAAAATGTATCTTCCAATCTCAACATTTTTAACATGCTACCTTACCCTTTTTTTTTTTTTGCAACAACATAATACAAACCATAAGGGGACCAACCACAGGTTCTCCAACTCCCACACAAATACAACAGATTTTCGACTATAATTCTAAGTGTTATTTGCACTTGTGTAACATGTGATATTGTAGATAAAATGATATTGGAGCAGAAGTCAAAATGTACAGAAAAAATGATCAAGAAAGTGAAGGATATTAGACTTAGCAATGCCTCAGTGTTGACAGTAGTATGCATTTCACTGTCTATCTTGACTCCTCATAAGATACTGTGTGTGTGCTCTGCTGTTACATTCAAACTTTGAATATTTAGGTTAAGAAAGAGAAATTGGCTGCTTTGAGAGCACTGAAGAAGTGGTACAAAAAGTAATTATCAAAAGAAGGCATCAAGCCCTGTCCGAAGCAAAGTATAATAATAAAAAAATCAAAATCCTAATATCAAAGCAAAAGTACACAAGATGAGCAATGTCAAAAGCATTGAATTCATTAAGGATTTATCGAGGGATAAGCAACTCAAAAGGACATTGGTAAGTAGGATTTTTTATCATCTCAAAAATTGGGACATTCTATGAGGACAGTGCAGTTTGAACAAGGAGCAGGTATTCAGCATTCATAGTTATAACCCAATAAATAACTTTGAGAACAGTAAACATTACATGCATTGATGGGTGGCGCCTCGAAAAGCCAGATTATCGATGTCTGGGCACAGAGTGAGAAAGTGAACCACTATTATGTTAAGGCAAATGCCTCCCAGGGGTTAAAGGAGATTGTCCCATTTTACCTTGCTGAATGTATAATGAAATATATGATCACAGATATGACAAAAGTTGAATTCAAATAATGAAACCCACACAAGAAATGAAAGTAACACTGTTTTGGTTTGTCCTAGATCTTTATCTACTTAAACCAGAGGAAGAAACAATTATAAGGCAAGAAAGATGAGGAGGTCCAAGAAGAATATGCATTAACCCCAAGTTAAAGGTAACTCCTTAGGAGAAAAAACAAAGTAAACAGAATAGAGAATGAGGATAACTAAGTAAATAAATGAAAATATGAAATACAGTACAGTACTAGTATATCAGAGATCCAAATTTGACATACAGAGATAGGGAAAGAAGAAATAGAGCATAGAGGGGGCAGATAGCCTAATTCAGACCTAACTTGCTAAGATGATTAGAGTTTTTAACTATATACTGTAATGTGAAAGATAAGACTCGACAGCATCAAGGCCAAGACTAAAATTTACGTTGTGTGTGAGAACTGATATTCTCATACACAACATAATATGATAGCTGCATATTCCAATTTTGGTCTCACTAAAATCATGAACACAATCATGACTAGTATTTCACAATCCATGTAATTAAAAAAAAAAGAAGATTCTGAAGTTGGAAAGTTATGCATATGCTCCACACATAATGGTGTTTTCCTCTGGTGACAGTCTACTATCCAAAACCACCCCTAGCTCTCTTTAAAAAATTTTAAGAGTTCTTATATTCCTCTCCACATAATTTGTAAGCTTTGTGTGGTGTATTTTCTCTGATTCCACAATCCATAACATGGGCTTTATTCACACTGAATTCCATTTGTCACATGGTGCTCCAAGCACTTATTTTATCTAGATCAGTCTGAAGGGTATGACAATTATCTGTCTCTCCTATCTTCCCTAGAAGCAACAAACATGTTCAGTTTTCTGTCACAATTTTTGTATCCATGTTAGAAGTCTCCTTGTCACACTTCCAGCATATTCCAGTTTCCAAAACGACTGCTTGTGTGTGTGTGTGGAGGACTGGATTAGGGATGTGTATGGAGGACAGGATTAGTGGTGTGTGTGTGTGTGGAGGACAGGGTAAGTGATGTGTGTGTGTGTATGTATGGAGGACAAGATTAGTGATTGTGTGTGTGGAGGATAGTATTAGGGATGTGTGTGAAGTGAAGGACATGATCAGTGATGTGTTCACCCAACTGATGCCTCAAATCAGGGATTTGGAGAGATGTGTCATGATTCATGACTGGTGAAAGTATTTCTACATTTCTATGGTTGGATTCAGCACACAAGATAAACTCATGATATTTAATACACAAAGTCGTATCCCATTCTTTCCACTATATACAAAAATCCAAACCAAGTTTCACCACAAATAGTGTGACAAAACTATAAATATGTCTTCCTGAGATAAACAATGAGAATACATTATTGAATAACATACTAAAAAATTTTAAAATAAATTTTTACATCATGTATTTGGATTATGAATCTCTGAATCTACAAAGTCATAAATAACCGCTTCGGCTAAATAGTTGTAGATATTGCGGGTTTAACCAAGCAAAATCCTGTATTGAGGACAGAGATACAAAGTAATCTGAGATTTCATTCCAAATATGTAAATATAGGACTGTACCCCTGACTATATACCGTACCTTCATTAAATATTTTTATCGGAGGGTTATGCAGCTGTTTTCAGGAAATGATAAGCCATCCACACTACTACCACAAGATTTTTCAGGTGGATAAAGTGAGTCTGTGCATCGTAATGCATCACGTTACACTCTTCACATATGTACAGTACTATAAATAAACAATATTTACTCTTCATAATGGGTCTGAATATATATACAGTGATGTATTTGCTCAACTATTCTAAATGAAAATGAGAAAACACCAGTTAAGCCAATGGGCTTAGAAATTAGATGAAGTGCAGAAGTCCACCCATTTTAAGTGTAATTTGTAATTATGAAAATAAATTAACTTGTGTCAGACTGCATCTCCACACTCACCTTGGCAACAAAATACACCAGAAAAATATTTTAACTTTGTTAACAAATAAGTATTACTGGTAAATATGCTCTGCATACACATTTTATAAGAAAGTTGACATTTTATTAATTTATTTCCTTCGGATGCTTGACTTATATATTACTGTATTACAAACTATGTGGTAGCACCATGTTTTCAGTCATTGATAAAGGCTAAAATGAAGTTTTATTATAAATATTAAATAATTTTAGGATCCAAGAATTATTTGATTTGAAACTAACAAATACACCAACACCTGCATAAAACATGAAGGAACAGGCAAAATAATTATAATTTACTAGTACAATACAGAACTGTAATTATTTAAAAACAGTGCAACCTCTAAAATCTGATATCCATATAAAGAATACAATACCTCCAATTTATACATGAAAAATTTGCATCAGACCATCAATTCATAATCAGAAAAAGTTTTCAATTCAGGGATGCTCTTGCCAAGAAAACCAAAATTAACTCTGCATAATAATTCCCAACTGATTATTTACTTTTTTTGTATCTTTTTATTATTCATTGCTCTTAATAGTGCTGTAATTAATATGTAATTTTTGTTGTGTTTGCATATAAAGTTTTATTAAATATATGCCATATTAAAATGGTACACAATGTTTGTCCCACGGTGCAACCACTACGAAAAAAGGTGCTTGCCTGAACAAGTACAGTACCACAAAGCAGAAATGTCATGTGAGAACAAGGTTAACTTGAGTAGAAGGCACAGGTGCCTCACTGCCAAGAGGAGTACAGGCAAATAAAGAGAAGATAGACTAAGGCAACAATGTTGATACGGTAGATTGGGTAAATAGCAGTCCAGCCCTACATCGAGATTCTTGTAGCAAAACTTTTCAAGAATACTGCAGTGAATCAAAAACCAAATATCATGGGTACATGGGCTCTTAATTTTAACCAGTGGTCATAGACTAGGTTTGCCTTAGAATAGGGAGCAATGCAGTAGTACAAAGATTTAGGAAGAGAACCTCCAAGCAAGTGGAATGAGAAACCCAAAGATATTTGCGCACTATCACCAGTGGAGAAAAAGAGATGAAAGGGTGAAAAATCCATACCTGCACACCAATAGGCAGCAGATAAATATTTGCCCAGAAATAGAAGGAAAGTAATTGTACAAAGTGATTGCCAAGATGCCGAAGATGAGCATGAAGTCACTGATCCTATTACCCATGGCCAGCTACAACAGAAATAAGAGCTTCAATAAAATATTCTCAAAATAATGAGACATGTGGAACTAAACTGAGGACAAAGTCAAGCTTTGAATCAAGTGCCTAAGTTGGTTCCAGAGGTACACGAGTAAAAAAAAACGACTATCAGACAACCTAATATCAATGACAGTATGAAGTACTAAAATGTGACACTAAGTAACCAAAATAGAATGCTCTCCTTATAATCAAATCGATTCTGGTCCTAATGTTCAATAGACCTGCACAAGCCCAGAGTCTGGGGTAGCTTTCTGGATGTCTGGTACTAGAGTCAATGAATTTGGAAGCTACCTAGGGGCCACCACAGAAACAAACACACTAGTAAAATTTATAACATCTACAGCAAATAACATTTTTAAATACAAGCAAATAACATTTTTAAATAAAATATTTTACTTCAAATCTTTAAAGTAAAGTACAGTACACAGTACTATTAAATGACCTAGAATAAGAAGTAAAAGATAAGGACACATCTGGACACTACTTTACATGACGAACCGAATCTGGATTTCACCATAACCCCCACAGGAATTCAGATCTCCTAATTTTGGAGGCAATATTCCAAAGGATAAATGTGTGCTATTTAGAGAGATTACAGTATGGAGGTCTGGATTTTAGAGGTTGCAGTGCATGTGCACACATTAACACACACACACATGTATGTACGTAAGAGTGTGTGTGTGTGTGTGTGCCGTGCATGCATGCACACGGTGTGCATGGAAGAGTGAGAGTGAGAGAAATAATAGTAGACATGATAGAGAAAAATAGGTCAAGAGTCAGTACATTAGTCAACTGAGTTAGAAAAGTGGGTTCCAAGAGCTAACAGTTGCAGGCATAGTAAATAAAAATTTAATATTTGTGCCTGCTAGATCAAGACATTAGCCCTTGGACCCCACCTTTCTACTACTTTTTGTCTATTGTACTGACTCTCAACCTATTTTCCTTTATCATATCTCCTACATGTATTTCTCTCTAACACACACATCCCCAGGATGTGTCCTGTAGCAGCTGTCTAACTTCACAGTACATATTTACTAGTAAGTGAATAGAGTATCAGATAAAAAACTCTGCCCATTTGTTTCTGCCTCGGCCAAGGATTGAACCCTGGCCCTTAGTACTATCCACTTGGCCACAAGGCACCGTGTGCTCTTGAATGTGCATGTGTTTTTGTGTTTTTTAAAACAAAGTAACTCAAGACTCAGAAAACAAAAAGGGGACATACTGATTTTACACACAAATTAAAATAAGATAGGAAGAAAATTTAGAACTATTTTAAAAGACTAGATATTGTTAAATCAGAATGTTTAGAACTGATACTGTTTGTATGCTTTTTATACTGTACTGTCCTTCTTAAACTCCACTAAACACTGCTTTCTGCTCTTTGAGGTGACCGTCCAACCATAGTAATGGGTTTAGGGGATCGACTAAGTTCATGTAATAGTGGTGTAGCCATGTACAATGGGTGAGGGTTTTGTGATGATATAGTTGCAGGATTGGACATGGACGTGGTGACTCTTGGAATATCTACCGGGGTTGGAAGAAGGGAAGCCGTCCGTGAAGAGGGTGGGTCAGAGGTAAGGGGCGAAGTGAAAGAATCTGTGTTTGCTGGGGAGGATGGCGAGAGCTGTGGTGACACTCCAGAGTACATATAGTGATGCACAAGGAAAGACTGCCCTCGGCCATACTCCTGCTGATGTCCTCCCCACCCTCCACTTGTGATATCCCAGTCTACACCAGTGACACTTGGATTTTCAAAACCATTGAGTTTTTCACCATATCCTGAATCACGTGACATTTGTGAAGTTGTCAGATCAAATTTTACTTTTTGAGAATTTTGGGAGGAACCTGAAGATGTTCGGCTTGGTCCACTTCTGGGGGAGTCAGGTGACTCTCGTGCACTTGCACTTCTTTTACAAAGTCCAGCTTCTGCGTCTGATAAGGTTTCAATATTTTCAAAAACAGTTTCCATTTTATCTTGGACGGTTCCAGTAGCTTCATTTTCTTCATGGGCAAAGTCTGGTGTTGAATGCTGTTTATCACTTAAAATAAGAGGTGTGGGATTCAGATAATTTGAGCTTTGTAATTCGTTGTTTTTCCGAAGTGTGGGAGGTGTAGGTATGATTGGTTCAATGGTGATAAAGGAAGAAGGAGAAATTGGCCGTGGTTGGATTTCTTCATCATCAGAAGATTCCGGAAGCTGCTCTGAGGTAGTTAACAGCCGTTTTCTTGAATCCATAGGAGGAGTCTCTACATAAAAGCAATATCCAGTTCCAAGACGAGCTGGAGGTAAGCGGTGATTAAGCAGTGGAGATTGTTGGAGATTTGCTACTGTGGCTGAACCTCTTCTTCCTTCTCTCAATAATAATGATGCTCTTGAAACAACACTAGAGGCTTCACTTAGTGCCTCTGGAGAAGCTAGGGGTGCTACACCTGCTGCCCAATCCTCCTCTCCACGTTCAACTAACCCTCTTCCAGCTTCTCTTATACCCATGAGTAACTGTTCTTCCAGTGCTGATAGCAGTTCCCAAGTGATTGCAGGAGAATGGATGTGTGCATGACGACGAAGATCTGGTGGAGGTTCAGGCGAGGCTGTGGGTGTGCAGGTGAAAGATGTCTCTAACAACAGTCTGTGAGGAGGAGTTGCTAGACGGTTTCCACCCACAGCATTTGACGTGTGTGTACTTGTGATTGATGTTGCTTTAAATGAACCATTAATGGAGCTTGGTTGCATGAATGTTGGTGGGGTTGCAGGACGTGAAGACAGCAAACAGTGGGTTTCCCCTTCGGGTGTAGGAGCATCACTCTTCCGTCGGGCTGGGCTGTCTGACATCCTCTGTGGTTTCGTTGGGCCTGGGTTCTCCAGGACCTGTGGGAATAAACACTTTAGACAAACTACCATTAAAGCATAAACAAATTGCATTATTATTGCTAAGTGATGTAAAAATTGTTGCCAAGTAATTATTCATTAGGATTTGTTATAAAGGAGCTAGAAAATTTGTTTTTTACAGTAATTGGTACTGAATATAGAGCAGCTTATATTTCCAAACTGATAACTACTGTAGTCAGATTCATCAGAAGTACCAAAATAATATTCCAAATTGCCAGCTAATTTATCTATAATTTTGAGACATCAAATCTGTTTCACAGAAAAAATAACAATTACTGTATTAAATGTTATTTCATTCCATAAATATAGTACAGTATAATGTCAGTACTTGTAAGGTCAGCCATTACTGAACTGACATTATCAAGGAACAGACAATTATGAGAAGCTCTTAAATTAATCCTTTCCCAAGTAGCAGCATAACTCAACAACAAGTAATTATCAGAAGAAGCCAAACAACTTCCTATAATAACTGTCAGTTACGAAGGTTTTCCATGTAACACTTCAAAGATTTTGAATGAAGTCAACCATTGAAATGATATACTCACTGTCTAGTCTATATCTAACAGTGAAAGACTGAAAGCAACTCATTAGTTATTTAATGCCCACAAAAAGAAAAAAACAGGCTATACTACCATTATTTAAATATTATGGTTAAAATAATATTTGTTTGTTTTAAAATAAACAAATGTGTTTGCCAACACAGCAAATGCACAAGAACAAGAGTTGTATGAAAAGACGACAACTATGTGGCACTGTATTAAGATGAAAGTGAAGTCTGATCCACCAGAAAGTACGATGCAGCCCAGTTAATGCAAAGAACACAAAGAAATGCATGTGAGTACAATATCAATACTGTAACAAATTCCCAGGTTACCATATCGAGGGTAACAAACAGGATGTGTATGTACACAAAAATATTATTTTTATAATTATATATATATATATTATATAAGAGAATCCCTGTCTATTCAAAATTGCCCAAAATTGGAGGGGAGGGGAAAATGAATAGGGGGAGGGAGAGACACCCAGGCACCACTGGGTTACCCTGCATATACAATATATGTAGCTATAAATGGAAATTATAAAAGAGCTTAGGTATGTCAGGAAACTGACAAATGATGAGGGGAAACAATGGTCATTAAGACAAAACCTTTAAAAGAGAGAAATTAAAATTAAACTTAGCGAAATTTGAGAGGGAGATCAAAATGAGAGATCGGGACGCCTATAAAATGGTACATACTGGGTACAGTACTCTGTATAGGTGAACAAAATCATTAACGCAAGGGGAATTATAAGACAAAGGGAAGGAAAACATGTTCTTAAAAATCATAAATACTAACACAGATGGAGTGAGATAATAAATACTGGAGCTAAACGATATATAATACAGTTTAAGATTTCAGAGATTGTCGCATTAACAGAGATGAAACTATGTAAATACAGTATTTTAAATGAAATTTACAAGAACATTGTGCGAGGAGCATATACTGCACTTTCCAACTTCAATATCACTTTTAATTACATGGATGGTGAAACACTAAAGAAAATGTTCATAACTATTGCGAGATCAAAATTAGAATATGCAGCAGTTGTATGGTGCCCATTCTGAAGAAGCACATCAATAAACTGGAAAAGGTGCAAAGGAGTACTATAAAACTTTCAGTTCAGAAAGTTCAGCTTTCTGAACTGGAAAACAAGTTAAAAAGAAAGGGTAGTTAAATATGCCAAGGCTTGAAGATAGAAGAAAAAGAGGAGATATGATCAGCACTTACAAAATGATAACGGGAATTTACCAAATTGACAAAGAGGAATTCCTGCAACCTCAAAAACAAGAGCTCATAGATTCAAGGTGAGGAAACAAAGGTGCCAAAAGAGTATTAGAAAGTTTTCTTTTGCAGAGTGGTAGAGGATTGGAACAAGTCAAAGTGAAAAAGTAGAGGCCAAAACTGTCAATAGTTTCAAAGCTTTAATTAAAGACAAAGAGTGCTGGGAAGACGGGACATCATGAGCGTAGTTCTCATCCTGTAACTATACTTAGGTACTGTAATTACATATATGTATGTATACACCCACACACTGGGAGTACCCAATATGCAGATTTGAATCCTCCTTATGGTTCCTACTGAGTTTCTCATTATTATTACTTTTATTATTATTATGTTCCTAAAATCCGTATGGTATATAGTGGGTGCATTTACTATAGTATTTGTTTTTATTAAATCTCTCAAAATTCCAGCTTAAGTTTACAAAACCCCTGGAAATTATATTTTGAATCAGAAATATTAATAAATTAAAGCTAGTGAAAGAAATCTCGGCCTTGATAAAAATATATCTTAAAATTAATTTAATAATTTGTATAATCAGTGGACCAATATAGAGTACAATATCATAGTTACCCTATAGAGTTGTGTACTGTATATAAATCTACTCTCAGTTAATATATTTTATATTATTTGATTTTCAGTGTAATAATACCTGTACTACATTATAATGAATTATATAATTTTGAAGAGTTTAAACCTTACACCATTATAAGTGAAATTTTTTTGCAATGTCCTATTACCATACTGTACCCTGTTTTACAGGCATAATGTATCTAATCAAAATTTTGTCTGAAAGCTATCAGTGATGTAACCAATAAATTCAGATACTGTATACTAGTTAGCACACTGGAAAGGTAGATTAATACATTTGTATCCTACCTTTCATAAACACAATACAGTATAAAACAAACAGAAGGAAACAAACAGGTGCAACTTCATAATGCATCAACACCCTATTTTACTTTATAATAATGTAGCACTATCCTATCTTTCTTAATTTCAATGTAACAACACCCAATCTTAATTTAATTTAATGTAGCAACATACTATTTTTTTTAATATTAAATATATATATATATAAAACCATCCATGCAGATATCAACAAACTTGTTTACCACACTTCTTGCTCTAGTGCACCTACGCATCTGCCGCATGCACCTACACTATATACAGATATACTGCCTGTATGGCATATGTATATATATATACAATGTATGTATATACTATATACTGCCACTGGGCAGAAGACCACTGTGCTTCCTCAACACAACCATGATCATTTTACTAGGATGCAATCTGGAATTTTAAAAGATCATACTTTCATCACCTTTCCTCCTCTTTCATCAACTCGTACAGCATAAACAGTAGGAAAATTAAAGGTTGTACTTCATGTACAGTACAGTATAAGAGTGCTGTAATCTAGGGATTTGATGTACTGTATTCATGATGCAACACTATCAATTATTACACTTTACTTGCCAAACATAATCCACACACATTAATCACTACATTATTTTTTTAGCAAAATTATATAAAAATAAATAAAGTAATGTGAAGTCAGAATTTAGAGTTAATGGGAAACAGCTCCAAAGTACAAGACACTTTCCCAAATCCCATCACATACATTTATCTAATGGATAGATACCCATCATATCTGTCTGCAGGTCTGAATAGCTATACTATATTTTTTATTCAGAACAGAAAAACACATCACCTGTGAATACATATCAGTATTTAAAATGAATTAAGGATATATGTGATATACCAAAAGCTGGTAAACCCTTTAATGGCTACTCAGCATTGGGGCTTCAGTCAAAGTAAGGCATTTAGATCAATTTAAATTTAACAACAAAGGTATGATGCCATTAGAAATACTATACAGTACAGTATATAAATTTGTGGGGAAGAAACAAACTTTTTTTTTCTTCTTGAAAATTTAGCCTAATAGCAATTGATGTTTTGTGGGGAAGTAAAAAGAAATGAGGAACTAACTGTACCCTATATGAAAGACATGAACCTAGCAGAAACAAACATGAGTGTTAAAGAATCTACTATTCACAGTATAGATTTGCTTGGGATTCTTGAGCTTTAAGATCCCAACATATCTCACAACAAGTGCACTCATTTTCACAAGCCACCCTTTCTCAAACAAATGAACTTTTTATTCAGCTTACATTTTAAAATATTAGATATACAGTTCTGAGATTGACAACACAATGTGTTAACTGCATAACTGAGAATGAAGAATACAAGAAAACTTTGAATCACACTTGTATCTGCAATAATTCCAGATTGCAGTGGCACTGGTACTTATCGCTTGGAATTCAATCAGGATATCTGGAAAACTGCACTCTGATGACTACCACAACATTTTCTGAATTTATCTTAGGAGCAAATGAGAAAGTACATGTTTCAGCATATTCAGACATACAAATAATAATTAATGATTTTGCATGAATATAAATAATAATGCTAAATAAATTACAGTACAAAAACTAATCTGTTCACTTACTTTTTTTGTAGCACAGGCTGATTTTGATAATCCAGAGGCAACAACATACAGTTACTGTCCAGTACTATATTATGCAGTCTACTATACTTCTGCAGTCATCTGAACTGGCCTTAAAGTCCCAAAATGAACCCCTGTGGGACCCCACTTAGCTCATTTCCCCAGATTCATTCCTTTAGTTTTCAATGTTTTAATCATTGTTTTATCCATTCCAGTATTCTCCCATTTATTCTATGTGCTTGTAATTTCCATGCCAGTGTCTCTCATGTGGTACCTTGTTAAAAGCTTTAGCAAAGTCCATGTAAGCTATATCAACCGGAAGTCCTTTGTCCAAATAGCCGGTTACCGTTTCCAGAAATGTGAGCGGGTTAGTGAGGCTGGATCTATTTTTAACAAACCCATGTTGCGTTGATTTTACAAGATTGTTCTCTGTGAGATGTATGATTCCCTTCCTTAGGATTCTCTCCATGAGCTTGCAGATGTGTGATGTCAAGCTGATCAGACAGTAGTTTTCTGCCAAGCTTTTTCTTCCTTTTTTGAAAATGGGGTAACATTTGCATATTTCCAATCAAGGGGGAACTATCCCTTGGTCCAGGGATTTTCTGAAATGTGTTTCAGTGGTATGCATAATACATTTGCCAGTTCCT